AAAAATTAATTGAAATGCACTTTATATAAATTTACTTACCAACAGCTAAATGCACTGATATAATATTTTTACCAGGCGAAAGAGCCCAAGCGTGTAAACTATGTACGTGTTTTATTCCGGCTAACTTCGTTAACTCGTTTTTTAATTTTATACTATCAACTGGACTTCCTTCAAGTAAAAACCAGAATGAGTCTCTTCCAACTCTAACCGTCGTGAATATAACTATTACTGAAAATAAAATAGTGCAGATTGGATCTGCTATCTTCGCAGTGGGTTCAAATTTTATTATAATAGCAGCTAAAAGTACGCCAAGACTTTGAACTAGATCTCCAAGGACGTGAATAGTTGCTGCACGCAGGTTTATATTCGACGAAGAGGATCCTGAATGCGAATGTTGACTCGATAATCCATGAGAATGTGTGTGGCATATGCCGTGAAGAATAGCACCCATTCTAAAAACAAAATAAATATTTCTATAAAAATATGTTTATTTTAGAACTACACCGTGTTTATAAATTTAATTAATATGAAAACGATAATTAACTTTTTTAACGCTTTTTTTGTAATATAAAAGTTTCAATTCAGCGTTTTTAGACATATTTCAAATGACAATTTGTTGCCAAAACTCATAATTGAAATTTTATGTTTAAAAGATAAGGCTCTAACAATGGAAATTGCACAGCGACAGGTCAATGGAAGTGATACATTTTATCGATCTAGTTTATAGAACTGACTTCATTGGCGAAAAAACTGCATACGAAAGCTGCATTCTTCACCTTTAAAACGCAGTTTGATTTTTGTCGATAGGACACTCTGATCAACAGATATCGATTTTTTACCGTCGAATTGATACACTATACTTGTGATTTGTGAAAATGATATTTAATATATAAGCTGACATTTAAAATCGCCGGTGGATTCAAGCCTTGTTTTTGAGAGAACGATTCATTCCACAGAAAAAGCTAATTCAAAATTATCTCAGCTACATTTCTTGTTTGAAACATTGTTTTATCGGTTTTTCGGCCACCCCTACGAGGGGGGCTTAAGGTAAGACGGGGGTAGAAGAGGTAAACTTTTGCAACTTTTTTGGGGTCCTGATTTTGAGATTTTCAACAAAATTTAGCTTCTTCGTGTCATTTTTTTGTATGTAATTTTTAGAGGTCAAATCTCTGACGACTTGACTATTAGCTAACTTACTCATTTTATAAAGGTTTTATATATATATCCTATAAGAGCAACTTGGATATCACCAAATGGACACACCACAAATCAAATTCACCATGTTATAATTGGCAGCAGGCACTTTACAAACCTAATGGACGTCAGAAGTTACAGAGGCGCAAATATTGACTCAGACCATTTCATGGTAGGGGCCAAGTTACGACAAAGAATTTCCAATGCCAAGAAAAAAAGGGGCACTAGACAAGTAAAATGAAAAAAATTACAGATGAGAAGAACGAGACATTTAGGACCATGCAACAATGGAAAACTAGGACAGCAATAGATAGATATAATAGATAGATATAAAAAGTTAAGAAGAGAGGAAAAACGCATACAACGAAAAAAAACGAGACTAGGAAAATGTCATATTAGAACGGCTCGAAAGCCATATGAGTCACGGAGAAACAAGAAAGTTCTATCATCAAATAAATATTATTCGAAAAGAATTCAAACCGAGAATCAACTATTATAATGATAAGGAAGGTAACTTACTTACCAACAACCATTAACCAGATCTTTACACTACGACAGATCCTCGAAAAAGCGCAAGAGTTTAACATAGATAAGTATGTATCATATTTTTGTCAATTTTAAAGCGGCATATGACAGTGTCTTAAGACCAAGTCTTTACAATGCTATGGATAAGTTAGGAACTCCAAAAAAACTCATATGTTTAATAAAAGTGACAATGGCGAATATGCCATCAGCAGTAAAAATTCAAAACGACTCGTCAACCCCATGTGAAATACATAGGCGGTTAAGGCAGGGAGATGCGCTGGCGTGTCAGCTTTTTAATGTCACCAATATTAATACATCTGAGGAAATAAAAAGGCGAATAATAATTGCAAACAGGTGTTATCATGGTCTATCAAAGTACTTAGCTAACAAATGTCTGTCCCAAAAAACTCGTATACTGCTGTATAGAACACTGATAGTCCCCGTTCTCACATATGGATCTGAGGAAGGGACGCTAACTAAAACAGATGAATCAACTCTATCGATTTTTGACAGAAAGGTGCTACGCAAGATATTCGGAGCGGTCTGTGAGAACGGAATATGGAGACCTAGATATAACTTTGAACTGCATAATATCTACAAGCATACGTTTGGTGGTAAAGATATTACCACCATAATTAAGCGAAACCGCCTGCAGTGGGCAGGACATGTAGCCTGGGCCCCTGAATCGAACATAATAAAAAATATTCTAACAGCGCAACCCGTGGGAATGAGAAGAGGGGGTAGACCAAAGCTGAGGTGGATGAACGGGATAACACAAGATGCCGAGAAGATCGGAGTCGGCAACTGGAAAATGCATCCAGGGACATAACAAAGTGGCGTAGAAAGCTTGAGAAGGTCGAGGCCCTCTAAGGGTGGTAGAACCACGATGATGATGATGACAATGTGCGACAAAAAGACCTGTTCTCAAATAAATGTCATTTTGCTTGCATTACTTCTTCCATCAGTCATAAGCCATTGAGGTCGTAATTGATTGTATTCCCAGGCATGACACTTTTCATTTACGTGACTAGTCCACAAAAGGATTCTTGACCTAAAAACGGTAAGTTTAGATAACTTATAAGGTATCTCATTTTCTCCGATTTCATGGTCATCAAGAATGCCTTATTGTTTATTGCCAGTTTTTCAAGAAAATTCTTGCGTCCCAAACCAGATACATAAAAGACTACAGAGCCTTTAAGCTGATTGGCGGTCTATAATTTGTAGAACTTCTCCCTAAGGATATTGCCACTGAGGTATTTCTGGGTACTAATTTCTATATCGTGTGATTCCGCACGAAATCTTGGGACACCCTCAAATATTTGGGGAGTGTTCAAGAGAATTGAGAGCTTGAAATTGAACCCCGTTACTCCCACTCCACCCCTTTCATCGATATAGGTGATCTATGCATATATCATAGCAGTGAATTCAACTTCAGTTGAAGTGAGTGTTCGTTGGTTAGTTCAAGGTTTCCAATGGAAAATCCTTTAGTTACCAACCGAGTCATCCGGTTTTATTTTTTGTGTTGGTCCAGTCAACAGTTCCAGTTGGGAAGCTCATCATTGACTACAAAAATGTTGTGGAACATTTTACACTGCCTCCCTAATTCCGAGAAAGGCTAAATGTTATAATTTAAAAAAAAAACGGTGTGTGCTTGCTGTTTTTTTTTTTTTAAATAAATATATTCAGACTATATTTTAAAAAATGCACGGTAGCTACTTATAACACTGTGAACTCTTCAAATGTTAAGGTGCTTCCAACTTAAACATAAATAAAAAATGTTTATTTTATAATTAAAACGACACACCGAGAAAAGGAAAATACGGAAGTACTCAGAGGCCACACTTTAATGAAAAAAATATGTTGATATAGTAGGATCGTTTTAGCCTGTCGCATAAGTAATAAAAGTGTCTGTTCAGATTTGCCTCACGTAGTCAGCGGTTCTCAAATTAAAAATGTACGGTTTTCTTAATTTGACAATGCCACATTAGGGATTTTTTTAATAAAATAACTTTGTATTATGTTTTATAATAATTGAATATCATACTGTAAATTGATAGACATTGAGTATGAAATATACAGGGTCATTCACGCAACATGTTGGTTAAAAGTTTTCAAAGTTCTGGTCGTCACTGGTTTCTGAAAACTTGGAATAATGGGTTATGCAATGCATTTTTCATTTTTTTAATATTTGCATTCTTCTAGAACTTCCGGTTGTACCGGAAGTCGCCATTAAGTTTCTTATTTTAAATAGAAACTGTGCTTTTTGTTATTTTTTTTTAGAATCTACGTAAAATTCTTGATCGATTTTTATTGGGATACCATTCTCGAAAAAATAGCCGTTTTTGAGATATTTAAAGTTTTTGAAAAATTATTCATATTACACATGCAACTTCAAAAATTAATATTGTGGTTAATATTTATGTTTGAAAAACAAAAATTCTTTTTCAGCGTGTACTAAACTCTATTTTTATTTAAGCATAAAAAAATGTATCAATGGTAATACAGGGTGTTCAAACTTTTGTATTATATTTTTATTTTTATATATTTTATAAATATATCTATAAAAATATGTATCTATATAAAACAAAGACTTATTCCTACTTCCCACACACACCTTCCCAAACCTACCGAGGTAGGTTGTGCTCCTAGGCTAAAGAAATGTATATTTGGTAGCTAATCAACTAATATTGCGTTGATTTTTACAAGTAAATCTATAGGTTGGGATCGGCTGGCCGAAAAAACAAAACGTGCCTTTTTAAGAATTCACAGGCGGATGGATGTCTTCGATATCGGATCATCAATTTGAAAAGTGTCTACGCAGGGATCACTTAACGCTCAGATTGGACGAATTCTTTTAAAATCATGAATAAAATTTAGTCTGGTCGAATTCTTTTAAAAATCATTAATAATAAAATTTTATTTTAATAAAAATTATTTAAGAATAAAATTTAGTCTTTATTATCTCACAAATATTTTTTTATTTCACAAAAACAAATGACATCAACTGATTACCTGCCACAATTTTTTAATGAAATACTGATTAAATTAAATATTAAAAAAATCTATAATATCTATAAAGGTGTGGGTCGGCACTGCCTGACCCTGACCGGCCGCCACTGATATTAAAGCTATTTCATTTGCTGATACAAGCATAACATGAGTCAAGTGGATGTTCAGAAGAAAATACGCGATTTAAAAAATTTAAAACGAATTAGTTCGTTCATGAGAAACTAACTAACGTCAACGTCATTTATGTCAACTGTCTCTAATGTAACCTGTATTATAAAGTTTGTTTGGATTTTGCATATACATTATAACATAACAGTTAATAAATAAAATACAAACATGGAAAGGAATAGAAATAATTTTAGGCCTCCTAATTCGGATAGGTTTTCACAAAGGTTTAGAAATGATTCAAGAAAACATTGGCAGCCTCAGTTTAATTCAAATAATTCATGTAATTTTAATCCCTGGATATCCAATCCACAACACACTGCCCATAGACCATACAATGCAGTACTCAATAATATGGGACAGAGAGGCTCTTCACAGACTAATAATGGAAATAACGGCCAATGGAATCAAAACCGTAATGTGTGGGGGCAAAGCTGGCCCAATAATACTCAAGATAATAATGAGGGTCATTGGAAGCAAATTTCAGGTATATAATAAATAAATTCTTTATTTGATATGTTTGTTATCTACAGAGTTTATTTTATAGCTTGTGGTTTATACTTGAAGACATATTTGTTAAAAGCTGTTGTATGCAAGGAAATAGTTTCAGCATATTGAATTATGCTTGCAGCTTATAGTCAATAACGCTTCTGACTAGCTAATACATACAAAGGCTTGGATTGCAGTGAGCTTAATAGCATATTAAAATGACTTATTAATTATTAAGATCACTAGTATTCTTTTAATAGCAGAAATTCTGTTATGGCTCATTAGATATATTTAACGAATATAATATTTCACAGCCAGTGCTTTATAATGATACATTGTTGTCTGGTCTTCTTAAAATTGCTTCTTCCTATATGCACACATCAGCTTTGATATTGTTTGCTAGATGATGGCTGATCTCTAATTTACAAATAATCACAAATACATATTTGTGGGCCACATCATATAAACTCGAAAAAAGAATAAATAATAGTATGTTAATTCTTTAGCCAAAAATATTTTCACCATATTACATATTACAGTAATTATTTAGTAAAATTACCAGCTGATATTTTATTTTATTTATTTTTTTCATTTGACTTATTTTCTGAAATCAATAATGGGCACAGTGAATACATAATACAGAACAAGAACCCTAAAGTAAGAATGTCTTACCTACCACACAAAATGTGTTAGTCAGAACTGATACCTTGATATTCAAACAAATACTACTTAGTGACTATTAGCAGCAAATTTTCACTATCCAATGAAGTGTTTAGTTATATCAAATTATCTAACTAAAATTCATTTCACATATCTGTTGAGTAAAATTATATTAAGGCACATTTAGTTATATTCTGTCAGATACAGGCAATTTAGAACTTTAAATGTGGATGTATTATTTTTTTAATTTATCACCTAGGCCAGGGGTCGGCAACCTGTTGTGTCGGAAGAGACAAAACTTACAAATAACAATATTTTACAAGTTTTTAAAGAGCCACAAATTTTTTTTGTCAACAATAAATAGTACTCTCATAAATAAAGTTCTTTAATAAAAAAAAATAATCGGTTGAGTTTACCGAAAGTACAAGCTGATTATAGCTGCAAGTGTCAAACATGGAACAGAAAATTTCGGTATCACAGTGTTGGCATGTTTTTATAATTAAGATGCTGTATGCTTCAGATATAAAAATATAAAGCTTTAGAAAAGTACATTTTGTTTGTATTATGTTATGAATTCTGCAATTTTTGATTTATATACAACAACAATGAGTAAATAGTTGTTTCTTTAGAGATTAATTGAAGTTAATCATTAGAAATTTTTTGGCAATTACCCTTTGATACTATTTAAGTGTTTTTTTATTTTTGCTCTTGTTATTTTTAATATATTTGCCTAGGTTGTTATTTGTTCGGAAAGCTGGTGTTATTCCTTTCTTTTTTGTGTTTGGCAATTTTTGTTGTTATTTTGCCTGTATATGTAATCGAGCAGAAGGTACTTGGTTTTTTCTCTGGTGGTGGAAATACTAATTTCAGGGCTTTCTTGTGTAGTTTTTGATTTAACATTTTATTAATTGTTTGTTCGTTGTATCCGTTGTTTACTGCTATTTGCTTAATTATATTTAATTCTGTCTCAAAGTTGTATTTTGACATCGGAATTTCTGTTAATCTATGTAACATACTATGATAAGCTGCCAGTTTATGTTGTGTTGGATGGGATGATGAATTGTGTATAGTCGTGTCAGTATGGGTAGGTTTATGAAATATGGAGAAGTCATGTTTGTTTTGAAGTCTGCTAATTTTTCAATCTAAAAAATTTATGGATTGATTTTGTTCTGTTTCTATTGTAAATTCAATATGACTATGAAGTGAATTAATATAAGATAAAAATTGGTCGAGTTGCCTGTTAGTTCCTGTGAAACATACCAGTATGTCGTCTATGTATCTCCACCAACATAAAAACTGTTTGAATACGGGATTTTTTGCACTGTTATTTGTATATATTTCATTATTTAATTCAAAGTAGTCCTGGTTTATGCAAACTTCAAGAAGATGTAAAATTTCAGATGTAATTATTGGATTTGTACTATTTTGGTCTAAAAGGTTTTTTATTAGAATAAAAGTTTCTGTAGGAGGGATACTAGGAAAAAGATTTTTTACGTCAAATGAAATTAATCTGGAGTTGTTAGGTAATTGAAAATGTAGTATTTTATTAACTAGTTCTATTGTATTTTTTATGGTAAATTTAGGTGAAAATTTAGCGTGTTCTAAAATAATCTCTAAAGGTTTTTTTGAAAGTTTATATGACGGAGCTGTATAAAAAGAAACTAAAGGTCTTATTGGGTGATCCGGTTTGTAGTTTAATGAAAGAGTATAATTTAGGAGGCCGTGGGTTCATGATATTGAGGTATTTCTGTTCTATTGGATTTAGTATTGCTTTTGAATTTTCTAACGCTAGCTTAATTTGTTTTTGATATTTTTCTGTAGGATCTTTGTGTAAAATTTCAATATTTTGATTATTTAAGAATTCTATTGTTTTGTTATTATATTCTATTTTATCTATAGCAATAGTATTGTTACCTTTGTCTGCTTTTGTAAACACAATGTTGTTTTCTATTGATTTATTTTTAATTGAAATTGCTGTTTTATTCTCTTTGTAAAAGGAAATCTTAGTTTCACTACACACATCTGTAATAGATTTGGCAATTAAACTTTTTTCGATATTGTTAGCAGTTTTGTGTTTAAATCCTTTCTCTAAAAGTTGTATCTCGCTGTTACTCGCTACTTTAAATACAACTTGCCCCAACAGAATAATGAGAGAACTTTAGAATATTTATGAATACTGGTATGTTTCACAGGAACTAACAGGCAACTCAACCAATTTTTATCTTATATTAATTCACTTCATAGTCATATTGAATTTACAATAGAAACAGAACAAAATCAATCCATAAATTTTTTAGATTTAAAAATTAGCAGACTTCAAAACAAACATGACTTCTCCATATTTCATAAACCTACCCATACTGACACGACGATACACAATTCATCATCCCATCCAACACAACATAAACTGGCAGCTTATCATAGTATGTTACATAGATTAACAGAAATTCCGATGTCAAAATACAACTTTTAGACAGACAGAATTAAATATAATTAAGCAAATAGCAGCAAACAACGGATACAATGAACAAACAATTAATAAAATGTTAAATCAAAAACTACACAAGAAAGCCCTGAAATTAGTATTTCCACCACCAGAGAAAAAACCCAGTACCTTCTGCTCGATTGCATATACAGGCAAAATAACAACAAAAATTGCCAAACACAAAAAAGAAAGGAATAACACCAGCTTTCCGAACAAACAACAACCTAGGCAAATATATTAAAAATAACAAGAGCAAAAATAAAAAACACTTAAATAGTGGTGTGTACAAACTTCAATGTGGCGACTGCCCAAAAACTTACACCGGTCAAACTGGTAAAAACTTTGATAAACGAATAGCAGAACATAAAAGGGCTTTCAAGAATAGAAAAACAGATTCGACATACGCACTTCACCTTCTAGATTATAATCATTCTCTTAATGACAAATTTAAAATTCTTCACATTCAAAATAAAGGCCTTAAGCTATCTTTGTTAGAATCTATGGAAATCAACAAATTAAAAAACACAGATATAATTCTGAATGACCAACTTGAGACAAACAGTTCTCCCCTCCTCAACCTATTTCATTACAGACTAAGTTTGTAAACCCAAGCCAAAAATAGATCACTTGAGAAAGGCAATTAGCCGAAACAGCTGTAGTGATAAGATTTACAATAAATTTTGTGGAAGTTTGAAAACAAAGTTTTCAGTGTTTTATTGTTACATAAAATGAATTTCCATCAAGTAACGGTCGAATCCATCAATTACTTACATAAAAAGTTGTCAAAAAACATTGTATGGCCACATGAAAACATAGGAAGGAACTCCGTATTAAAAAACAATCCTCATGGTATTTATGAAGGTAAATGCAATAGACTGTTAATTTGTTGATTACTAAAAACTGAAAATGGGGGCATCTTACATGACCCTCTGTAGTTGGTGAGGTTTTATTGACTTACATTACCAAGTTTTTACTTAATTCACATTCGTAGTAACTGCCACATATGGCTCATTTTTAAAGCATTTGTTTAAATTAAAAAGCAATATAGCTTGCATTACTTCGAGGTATTGGGTCACAGGTGGCAAACACTTTTGGGAGACAACGAAGTGATTCTAAAATTCTGGAATCAATATCATAAAGGAATGGAAGATGAACAATAAGCCAATATGCACGTATATTAGAATTTTTAAACACCGACTTGTGGGATGTTATTCATTAGCTCCCATTGTATATCCAGTTAGATGGGTGTTCATTAGGCAGCCAGCATTGGGCGCCAGAACCGTGAAGCAATGGCTAAATATTTTCCGAACCGTTGGATAGGCCTAGGTAGTCCGTTGATAGATTGGCTACCCAGATCTCCAGATCTCACAATTTTATACTTCTTTCTCTGGGAGTTATCAAACAAAAAGTTTACCAAACCCATGCTCCCATGCAAGAGACGTAAATGAACTTCGTGCAAGAATTCGAGAGGCATGTGCAGAATGGATTAAACATTATTTGTCTAAAATCGTTCTCACATGGTCAAATATGGTAGTTTTTTGTCAAAACTAATTCATATAACATCAGATGTTCCACAAGGTTCTCATTTGGGTCCCCTGCTTTTTAATATATTTGTTAACGATTTACAAACAGTAATTAATACCGACCAATTTCTCTTATTCACTGATGACATAAAAATCTTTAGATCTATTGCTTGCCTCTTTGATTGTTTAAATGTTTTAAACTTATATCTAAAAAAATAATTATTACACACAATAATAATTACACACTTAATGATACTGTTCTGCAAGAGATACGTCAGGTACGGGATTTGGGTATAACACTGGATAGAAAACTGAACTTTAATGATCATA